GGGCAGGAGAGGCGCCAGAGGTGAGGTCAAAGAGAGAAAGGTCGTCAGCCCTGTCGCACTGTAAGAACAGCTGCAGGTCGTCTAACCAGACCTCAAAATCAATGGCGCGACCCTCAGCGTCAAAAGCTAGGACACTAGGGGTAGCCATGGCGGCGACAGCGACGCAGTGCAAGCAGTAGGGAAAGAGCTCGCAGTGTCAGTGGGACTGTGCTCACCAGGCAGGGCAGGTCGTGCAGCTATGCAGAAAGGCGGCTCAGCGACCGGGCGGCTCGGGTGCACAGCGGCTCGGCTCCCGGGCGGCTCGGCGGCTGGGCGGCTCGGGCGCAGGGCGGCTCGGCTCCCAGGCGGCTCGGCGGCCGGGCGGCTCGGGTGCAGGGCGGCTCGGCTCCCGGGTGCAGGGCCGGCAGGTGTAGTGGCGGGCCGGCAGGTGCAGCGGTGGGCCGGCAGGTGCAGGCGGCGGGCCGTAGGGTGCAGCGGCAGGCCGGCAGGTGCAGCGGCGGGGCCGTCAGGTGAAGCGGCGGGCCGCTGGGTGCAGCGGCGGGCCGCTGGTTGCAGCGGCGGGCCGGCAGGTGCAGCGGCGGGCCGGCAGGAGCAGCGGCGGGCCAGCAGGAGCAGCGGCGGGGCCGTCAGGTGAGGCGGCGGGCCGGCAGGAGCAGCGGCGGGGCCGTCAGGTGAGGCGGCGGGCCGGCAGGAGCAGCGGCGGGCCGAGGGTGCAGCGGCGGGGCCGTCAGAGGCGGCGGCGGGGCCGCGGCAGTAGAGGCGGGGCCGCGTCAGGGGAGGCGGCGGAGCCGCGTCAGGGGAGGCGGCGGGGCCGCTTCAGGGGAGGCGGCGGGGCCGCGTCAGGGGAGGCGGCGGGGCCGCGTCAAGCAGGCGGCGGGGCCGCGATCAAGCAGGCGGCGGGGCCGCGATCAAGCAGGCGGCGGGGCCGCGATCAGGAGAGGTGGCGGGGCCGCGTCTGAGGGACAGCGGGGCCGCGAGGGAAAAGGCGACCCGAGGGGTCGCTAAAAAAAAAAGGGCGCGCCTCGGGGCGCGCTTCGGTGGGCCCTAAAAAAACGGTCCTAAGGCAGGACCCGCTCTATACCATGTGAAGCAAGGAAAACAGGAATGAATGAACTAGCAGTGAAATGAGTACAAGTAGGAAACCCTAGAATTGTGTACCCCCTATAGGCTTACCCACTGTAGCCTACACAAGCATAACATTTATAATGTTTGACAATGATTACCACCAACATTGTGGTGTACTTATATTTCGTAATGAAATATTCCAGAAGTGTTCAACACGAACGAAAATCATGAACAAAATCTACACCCAACGCAATGGAACTGACATCGACGGGCATCGAACCTGCGTCTGCTGATCGCGTTGTAGTTCCAACCTTCTCAGGCCTGGGCAAATTACGGCACAAGTCATATTTGGCACGTCTTGAAATGTAGCGCAAACCCCCTGAACACGAAAATGTCCCGAAAGTGTCTTTCAAGATAGTTTCGGGACGGATTTGTGTCTGTTCTGGGACTGAATGGTTTCGGGACAGATTGGGGACCACGCAATTTTGGTGATGATTCAGTAAACATTCCAAGTCACCGCAGCATGAGGGCTGTGAGGGCGAGGCCAATGGAGGCAAGCAGGTGGGAGAGGGAAGCGGCAGTGCCTCCAGCTGCAGATAGGGAGAACGAAAGAGCGACATGTTAGGGCATCGTGTGGAATCATGAAGTGGCAGGATGCATGAAGAACACGGGTGGCTTGTTTGGACTAAGAAAATGCATCCGGTGTATGTGTATTTGGGTGTCAATGTGTTGTGTGCGTGCGTACATGTGTACGTACCCGCTTTTGCGACAAGAGTATCCGTGTTATAGGGAAGAAGCACCGATCTGCTCGTATACACCACGACCTCACTTTCAGGAACATCCAGCAACATGTCTTCACCGTCCACCAACGTGTATGCCAATGGGCTCCCATCAAGCATCACATGGCCCATGAATTTTGTCAGCGGCGAGCTGGCCTGCTGCTGAGGAGACGCGCCAGAAATATTCCATTGAGATGTCATGTAGTATTTATGCAGAGTGTGATTCATCCATAGCGGCTGTCCCTCCAAAGTGGGAAGCTCCCATGGGTCGCCGGAGGAATACTGCCAGTAGGATGGCGGGGGGATGAGAGAGAGCGATGAGGACGGAGGCAGAGGCAGAGACAGAGACAGGAGGAGGGATGGAATGGAGTTCCATGTCTATGAATCTGAGAAAAATCGCCCCCGCTAATACCGTGCGATGTGGCGTGACTGGAAATCTGTGACATTTCTCAAAATCTCATCACTCCCTCCCTCCCTCCCTTCCTCCCTCCCTCCCTCCCTCCCTCCCTCCCTCCCTCCCTCCCTCCCTCCCTCCCTCCCTCCCTCCCTCCCTCCCTCCCTCCCTCCCTCCCTCCCTCCCTCCCTCCCCCCCTCCCCCCCCCCCCTCCCTCCCTCCCTCCCTCCCTCCCTCCCTCCCTCCCTCCCTCCCTCCCTCCCTCCCTCCCTCCCTCCCTCCCTCCCTCCCTCCCTCCCTCCCTCCCTTCCTCCCTCCCTCCCTCCCTCCCTCCCTCCCTCCCTCCCTCAAAAAGACTTCTGAGACGCCTCAGAAGGACGTCTTTTTCGCAATAAGTTGTCTTAGAAAAACACTCACTTTCTGCATCGCTACGAATGGCAAAGGGAACTTCCAGATGCATGAAAATACAAGATGTCAGTCACGGCGGTCCACAGTGGCGCATTGCGGTCCACTGCGGTCCAGTCATGATGAATTTCGGCATACATTTCAGAGGCTCACCTTCTGCGTCGCGACGGAGGGAGGGATGTATTCTTTCACGATTTGGAACTTCCATATATTCGCCAATACTCCCGCTGCAGCAGGGGAGAAGCTCTTTTTCTCAGTCCACTGCGGCACAACCTGTGAGTTGCCGTCTTCCATCATAAGCGTGAGCGCGTCATTTATCGCTTGGCTGTACTTGCGCGTGTTGCTGTCATGTGATGCATAGACAGCAGCCGCGATTCTGATGGCGTCTTGTTGCGGCATGAGTATCGTCACGCCTGAGATGTCTTTCATGCCGGACAACGCGAACAAACCGTCCATGAGGCCGGAATGAACGTTCATTGGCTTCAACTTTGATATCAAGTCGCTCACTGGCGTGGCGCGGGTGGTTTCGGGCAGCTGAGCGAGCAGCGTCACAAGCAGCAGTGCCACGGAGGCGCTGGAAGTCTGCAGGGAAAATGAAGGTCCGGCCATTGCAGTTGTCTTTGAGCAGTAGCGTGTGCGAGAAATCCCTTGTTACTACACACCTAGAATCTTTGAGGTACTAAGGAAATGAAGAGTTTATAGCAAGAAGAGAGGGAGAAATAGAGGGGTGGCGATTGCGGGAACAATGGATTCTTTGTGGGAGAAATTGATGAGAAAGCGAAGAAATGAGGATAACTTTATGGCCATGTTCGACTGGCGCATCAGCATTTAGGCTCGGGTATCAGCTCAGGTTCGGGTTTGGTCCTTGAGTAACCAGCTCAGGTTCGGGTGTGGTGCTCGAACGAGAGGAGGTGGTTTGGGGTTTGTCAAATTGGTCCAATTATTCTGTCTAGTTTGTCAAACTCGTCTCACACCTGTCAGGGCTGCCCCCACGCTTGCAGAGAAAGGTTCAAACATTGGGAGACTATATTCCATATCTATACTTTCAGATTTCTCCCAAATTTAGCCCCAGTTTCACTCAAAAAGTACCACTTTCTAAAATTTTGCTCACGCGAGGCCCAAAGTATGTTCAAAACTGGTCCTGCGAACGAAATTTTCGACACGTGTCCAAATTTGCTTGGAAAACTTTTCGACGGGGCAAAAAATAATAAAACCCCTCGGCAACTAGGGCACATTTGCGGAAGGGATCAACCCTAAACACCAAGCGGGTCCCCGTGTTTAGGGTTGGTCCCTCCCGAACGTGTGTCCTGGTTCCCCTAAGGGTTTTATGTTTTTTGCCCCCGTCAGAACTTGCTAATACGAAATAGGACACGTGCCGAATTTTTGCCCCGCAGGACCAGTTTTGAAACATAATCTGGGCCTTGCGTCAGCAAACTTCTAGAAAGCTGTACTTTTTGAGTCGATTTAGGACTAAATTTGAGAGATTTTTGAAACTATGGAGCTGGGATATACTTTCCCTCAAACATTTGAAAGCTGGTTTAGCAGGGTTCAAATTCCAGCCTCGCTGGAGCCTTGCCCTGTCAGCAGTGCACGGTCGCCCGCGCGGACCTCTCCAGAGATCGTTGACGCGAACAGAAGGGACCAGCACAACGGCGTGATTGGCGGCCGCGTTCCCGATTGGCATTTCGTCATCCTGCTGGCAGGACGCTTGACGTTGACTACCCCCGACCACAATGAATCTACTTCCCCACGAACAGACTCGGCTGTTCTTTAGGACGCGTTGAAAGAAGACGATCGATCGTGGGTGGCGATCGATGTGCGGATCTGTAACCCTCTTTACTGTGCTGTAACCTTGCTACAGTACGTTTTTTTGCCAGAATTTGTGCAGTGTGTGAATGGGACTGATCACTGATCACGGGAGATCACTGAGAGGCATCAAAGCGTCATTGATGCTCTCGAACCGAGCCTACCTGGCGCGATTGATTCTGATGCCTGCGACTTTCTGAAATTTCGCAGAGCCAGGAATCGCTGTCGCCCGAATTGTCCACATTTGGCGAAATCTGTAAACATCACATCGCCAGGGTGGTTGCCCTGCTGGCTGCGAGTGTCGCAGGTGTGTATGGACGACGTATATGTTTTGGGTGCGAATCGCATGCAGGGCAGTAATTTCGGCCCTGGAACATCCACCACAAAGCTCAGGTGCGATCGTTACAACGTATCGGTCTTCATGTTTCGCCAATCGAACTGCCCACTCGATTGCGGGGCTCAATTTATGCTCGCGATCCCGCGATATTTGCACTTTCAACGCGTCCTTAGACGATGCATTGACCAACAATTTATACATTCTACAGTGCATTTTACGCAAGCCTAGATGCATCTCTAGAGAAGAAAGTTGATCTGAAAAACTCAAGACACTTGCAAATCCATGCAGAATGCATTGCAGCTCGGAGAAGGGAAGCGGGTGGGCGAACGCACACTAGGGACATGGCGGCAGACACTGCAGCAGAAGCTGCTGTGAATGTAGGCTGCAGTAGCTGTAGAGTAGGCCCTTGCAACTGGGACCTGGGTTGAAAGTGGAGCGGGATGGCAAAAGGAGAAAGAAGTGAGAACCAGGTTAACTTTTGATACATTCACCGCACCTGAAAAAAAAGGTGCAGAGAATCTGGGGAGTATGTGTGTGTGCATGTGAATGTGAGGGAAGGTTTGGATGGGCGAGCGGGTGTGCGTGTTCGAGTTTGTGTGAAGGTGCAACAAGTGTAAGCAAGCACATGCACAAGGCACTCATGATCGATTTTAGCCACAAACAAACAACAAAGCCAGCCAGCCAGCCAGCCAGCCAGCCAGCCAGCCAGCCAGCCAGCCACCCACCCACCCAGCATAACCCAGAGAGCTGCACCTGGAGTCGGGCGGTGACCAGCCGTTGACGTAACGCGCAAAGAGCAGCGCATCGTACTCGCCCCCTTCGAGATAGTAGAAGCGCGAGAGGCGGCGGCGGAAGCAGAAGCGCAGCGAGCGATAGAAGCGGATGGCTGCGGCGTTGTATGCGACCACGTGCAGGTAGACGGCCGCACAGTGGGGGAGGGAGGCGGCATGGGAGAGTAGGAGATGCACCAGGTGTGATGCTGTGGGGAAGAGAAGAGGGGCAGGTGGTAGGATGGGAGGGGAGGGGTGACAAATGCTTTTGAAGTAGCAGGCAGAGAGAGGAGGCGTGGAGAGAAGCAGATAAGAGATGCACCAAGTGGGATGCTGCGAGTGGAAGGGGACGAGGAGAGGTACACCGGATCAATTCTTGAGGCGCCTCAAAAAGAGAGAATCTGAACAAAGGCTATGCTTACCTTTTGAGGCGCCTCAGAAGAAAGGCTATGCTTATCCTTTGAGGCGCCTCAAAAGAAAGGCTATGCTTACCCTTTGAGGCGCCTCAAAAGAAAGGCTATGCTTATCCTTTGAGGCGCCTCAAAAGAAAGGCTATGCTTACCCACGCCAGCCTTGCGGTAGCGCTTGGAAACACCGAGCGTGAGAATGTAGACGAGCGAGGGTGGTGGAGTGTGGTGGGGCGATGGAGGAGTCAGAGGAAGCACGTCCGCGCCCTGAGTAGGGAGAGGGTGATGATGGGAGGGGGAGAGACAAGTGCAGGAGAGACGAGTGTGGGGGAGGCGAGTGTGTGGATGTAGAGGAGTGAGAGTGGTGGGGTGTGGTGGGGCGACGGAGGAGTCAGAGGAAGCACGTTCGCCCTTTGAGAGGGAGATGGCGGGAGGGAGGGAGGTGAGTGTGAGGGAGAGCGTGTGAGGGAGAAGTGTATGAGGGAGAAGCGAGTGGGGGAGGTGAAGGCAAGTAGAGAGAGAGGGGGGGATGCAGACAACACAGCAAGTTTCTGAATTGACTCAGGAACAGAGTAGGCTGCACACCCCCATGCTGCATACCCCCATGCTGCACTCCCCCCCCCTTCTTTCCACACTGCACCTGTGCCTTTCCAGGCGGAACCAGGCATGCAGTGATGAACCCCACCCCGGTCAGGCTTGTACGGGCCCACTGCGCCCCATGAGATTATGGCCCACACATGCACCCCATGCACCATCCCCACCCCCCCCTCCTCTCTCTCCCCCTTTTTCTCCATCCCCCCCGTGCCACACTGCGCCTGCGCCTCTGCAGGCGGAACGAGGCGCGCAGTGATGAACCCGGCTGGCAAGGGTCCACCGCACCCCATGAGATGATGCCCCTGTGATGCACCCACCACCACCCATGCACACATCCGTAAACCTGATACGCCATGCGCCCTGCACACACCTGCGCCTCGGCAGGCGGCACGAGGCGCGCAGTGATGAAGCCCACCAGCCGGTCCGGCTGGCAATGGTCCACCGCACCCCACGAGATGATGCCCCGGTGGTGCACCACGTTGGAGTAGAACTCCGACTCGTACCTGATGGAATAGGGGGGAGGGGGAGATGGGGGGGAGAAAGGGAAGGGGGTGCGGGGCAGATTGGGTATGAACGGGGTAGCTTGCTGCTGGCAAGGGTCCACCGCACCCCATGAGATGATGCCCCTGTGATGCACCATGCTGGAATAGAACTCCGACTCGTACCTGATGGAAGAGGGGGGGGGGGGAGATGGGGGCGCCAAGGAGAGCATATGGGGAGGTGAGTTTAGGTCCACCGCGCCCCACGAGATGATGCCCCGATGGTGCACCACGTTGGAATAGAACTCTGACTCGTACCCGATGGGAAGGGAAGGAGGAGGCGAGGAAAGGGGGCGAGCGGAGGAGGGAAGGAGAGCTTAGGGCGAGGTGATGTCTGTCACACGATTTCTGTCTGTTTATTTTGCGACAGGAAGAGTCTTACGCGATGAGACCCGCCATGTCTTACACGTAAACGTGCCTTATCCGCCATGTCTCGTAGCGTAAGTTGCTCGCACGTTTATGTGTCCCGCCACGTGTTTATGGGTGGACACATAAACGTGCGACTTTGGAGTCGACTCAAAAGAGGTGACTTATGAGTCGACTCAAAAGTCACCTCAGTAAGTTGGCTCGCACGTTTATGTGTCCCGCCACGTGTATATGGGTGGACACATAAACGTGCGAGCAACTTACGCTACGAGCAAGTGACAGAATGAGTTGACGAGTTGGTGAGTGAGTTGGCGAGTGAGTGAGAGTTCAAGGTGTGCAGAGTGTGTGGGAGGTCTTACGCGATGGGGAAAGTGGCTTCATGGAGGGCCTTGAGATCACCCATGTCCGCAGGGCTGATGGCACGATAGGCCACACTGGGGAGTGAGATGGATGAGGAGGACGAGAAGGAGGAGGAGGAGGAGGAGGAGGAGGAGGAGGAGGAGGAGGAGGAGGAGGAGGAGGAGGAGGAGGAGGAGGAGGAGGAGGAGGAGGAGGAGGAGGAGGAGGGCGGCTGGGATAGTCCCTGCTGCTGCTGCTGCTGCTGCTGCTGGTGCTGCTGGTGCCGCTGGTGCTGACAGCATGTGCAGTGAGTGCAATGCTGGCAACAGCGATGCAAATCGTCATGTCGATTATTGGAATGTCTATGGTTGTCAGCGGCAGAGATGGTGTGACTGTAACGAGAGGAAGGCTGCTGCGAGCCCGGTGCAGAGGAAACAGCAGGAGAGGGGACGGGCAGGAGGGGTGAGGAGAGGGGAGGGCGAGGAGAGGAGGAAAAAGAGGCTCGAGAGGAGGAAAAAGAGGTTCGAGAAGAGGAGACGTGAGAGGGAGTAGGGTAAGCGGCAGGAGACAGCTTGTGGACAGGACGAGGGGAGCCAGGCCTTTGAGGTGCCTCAAAAGTGGGACGAGGGGAACCAGGACAAGGGCGAAAGGATTCAGGGCAAGGGCAAAGGAATTTAGGGCAGGGAAGTGAGTGGCATGGGCTCACACTATGGTTGCCTTGATGAGACTGTTGAGATGTCTCAACACAGGGATGGGCGACACAGGGATGGGATTGGTAGGCACGGGATTGACAGGAATGGGCGTGACATGTGTGGGGTTGCAAGGTGTGGGGTTGAAGGGTATGGGAATGACAGGTATGGGATTGAAGGGCGTGGGACTGGCAAGGATGCGGACATGGATGGTGCGTGCTGCTGCACTGACAGGCATTGTGCGACGCATGGTGGGGCGGTGCAACTGGAGGGGCGAAATGAGAGCGGGCGGAATAGGAGGGGGCGGAATGAGAGGGGGTGTGAGTTGGGCATGTGGCAGCGGGGCAGCAGGGCAGAGGGGGGGTTAGCGGCGCTGGCGCTGGCGCAGTGGAGGTGGTGAGGGAGAGAGGAGGAACCACGGGCGGAGGCGATAAGGAAAGGCCGGGATGGGATGGGTGGGTGGGAGTGGGAGTGGGGGAGAGGCTGCGGAGGTGGAGGAGACAGGAGGTGGACGCACACGAAAGGAGCTCTGCAGGAGAGGTGTGGGGGGGCGATGCACCTTGCATGCAACCACCATTCATTCCACCACCGTCCACCCCTCCACCATGCATCCCTGCTCCATTCAACACTGCACAGTTCACCCATGCGCCATTCATTCCTCCCCCATCCACCCCTGCACTGATCATCCCCCCACCATGCACCCCTAGAGGATCCGCCTCTAGAGTTCGCATCAGCGCCGCATCCCATCCCTCGGGGTGCCTGTGCAGGGACGGCGACAGCTCCGCCACGTGGCGCGCTGCCATTGGAGCGCCACCGCCATCAGCACTCTCCACAGCGTCAAAACTCGTCTCAGTCTCCCCATAGGAACGCAAAAAGTCCGGTTGAGAGTGCGTGGACAGGGCAGAGTACCCTTGTTGCTGCCTCTGCCAAGCACACCCCTGCGGGCCTGCTGCAGAGCCCTCAGAACTTGCCCCCACTGAAGCATACTCCTGCTGCTCTTGACGCGCCTCAAAGGCCGTCTCTCCGTACGAATGTTCTGAGGGCGGTAGAGAGGGCAGGGCAGAATAGATCCCCTGTGGCTGATGGAAGGGAGCATGCTCCTGTATCCTACTCCGCTGCGGTCCTTCTTGAGGCGGTGCTTGCATCCCTGTCGGTGGACGATCGTGAGATTGTTGTAACCCTGTTACACTAACCCTAATCTCAGGCGAACTGCATGCTGCATGGCGAACTGCTCCCCCCTCGCTTGTCCCCGCTATAGCATGAGTAGCTACACTACATCTTGTCTCTATACTGTTTCTAACACAGTTCTCTGTACTCCCTGAATCTCCCGGCGAGTCTGATAACCTAAGCCCTCTGGTCCTATCAGAAACCCAATCGATCTCGTATGAATATTCCCCATCCCTACCTCCCTCTCGTGCTCTACCACTCATGCGACCTTCATCTCCCTCCTTACCACCCATTCCAACCCCATTGCACCACGCATCACCCCTGTAAGAATCTGCCCCCGAGTCATGCGTCCCCTCTCTCCCCGCGCCATCCCCCTCCTCGCAGCAGCTGGTGAATTCGTTGGCGGGCCGCCACGCGCTGACGTCATTCCGCCGCATGCTGACGTGGCGGCTGCCATCCACCTGCCGGCTGAAAAGGGGTCGTTGTAAAGAAAGAAGTGAAATCATATGAGTGCAAAGGGGTATTTCGAGGTTTCTTGAAATCCGCAAAAACGAAGCGGAATGCTTCGCCTGCCTTCGCCTACTAGTTACACCGCATGTCGAACTTCGCAATCTGACCCTCCCGTTCGGAAACCGAGCCCACCTGCAGAACAGCGCCATCACTACTCCTTCGCCTACTTCGCCTGGATGCTGTACCGCTTCTTGAACTTGAGGAGTTAATCTAATAAAATGTCCAGCTCAGACAACACGATAAGTACAACTTCTGTTGAAATACCTGCGTAGCTGCGCCAGCTCTACTCCTTCGCCTCCTTCGTTTCTTTCGCTTCTTTCGCGTCCTTTGCCTGGATGTTGTACCGCTTGTTAAACTTTGCGATCTGCCCCTCCGTCTCCGCCTTCTTGCCCGGATCGCGGATGTAGAACGGACGGTCGGATTTGAACACCTGCGCGGACAGCACGCGCACAAGGCGGCCCTGCGGCGTGACGAGGCTGAGCCACTGCAAGGCGGGGTGGATTCCCTTCTTCATCGCACTCGATACCGCCCGTCGCTCCCAGGCGACAGCAATAGTCCGAACTTACGGGTTCGCTCAAGAGGATCTCAGCGCATAACGCGGGACGGAACGAGGCGGAGAATCTGAGGAGGATCTCTGATTGCAAGGCTGGTGGAGAGATGCCTGTTCGGTTCGGTTCGGAGGTCCGACGAGGTCGGGTCAGGAATCAGATCAGGGGCTTGTTTGGTGTGAAAACCGTTCTCGTTTCGAAATTCTTCTTCCCTTCCGGAGCTGAGCGGAGTTGCTCCTGCAAATGTATCTAAGGTCGTCTCTCCAGCAAGTGTCAAGAGGGGCTAGTGTCATGACACCAACTCGAAAACACATGGAGGACTATCCCTCCTGGTGTCAGCTAAACCAACCAATGAGATCGCGGGAAATCGTCCAATGTGCCCAACATTGACACCAGGCTGGAGCCGCGCTCACACGCGGCTCCACTTGGTGTCAACCGTAAACAACGCTTGACACCAAGCCTTTCTTGACACTTGCTGGAGAGACGACCTAAGTCTCGACTTGAGTGGAAAATATTTCTACAACTCGGATGCAAATCTTCACGCCGGGTTTGATCTCGGGGTTTCGAGAGGGGAAACGCGTTGTCCAGCCCAAATCACCCTATTTGCGGGTTACGAAACTCGAATCTCCAGCATGGTATATCTCAACGCCCCGACCACATCCGGGTGCAAAAACGACGCGGCTCGGGAAAGGGATCCGCCACCCTGCGTCATCCTGTCCGGCTAACTGAGTGCACGTCCTGGGCGAGGAGCGTCACCCTGCGTCGCCCACCAATCCCGATGAAAAATACCCCGATAGCACCTCTCAACGGACCCTCCGTACGAGGTCGACACCTCGACGACGCCGGTCGCGGTCAGCGTGCCACGACGTCCACCTAGCCATCGGCGCGGACTGCGACGTGAGGCCCACCGCGATTTCTGGCCGGCCACTGCGCTGGCGCGCAGAGCCACACGTCGCCCATCCGAAACACAACATTCCACGCGGCGAACATCGATCGGCAAACGTCTGTCCACGCGGCGATCAAGCCTTCGCCGGCCTGCTGGCGGGAACGTCCCCGCGGGATACCATCGTCGGGCGACGCCATGAGCACTGCTGCGTCACGCCGACGTGTAAGCACGGTTCACCGTGACGGGAACACCGGACGGTCGGCTGCGTAAAAGACATGAGTGCCCCGTGCAACGTCGACCATTGCGCCGCCGTGCCGTTCTGCCTTGCATGCAGAGTTGGAGACATGCCCACGGATCGCCCGCCAACACCTGTCCGCCCGAACCGCGACTGTGCCTCTCTATGCTATGACCCCCTGACGGCCAAGTGTCCATGGCATTTCGACACTTGTTTGTTGCGTTGCATTCATTTCCATTCTGGTGGGCCACATTTCCCTTGCTCATTTTCACGCTTCTCGGAGACCGACCGACCACGCGCGGTGCAGAGTCGACGACGAGCCACGCCGGTGTAGAGTGCGTTTAGGTCGGCAAACTTTACGGGCTTCCGACTTAGGATCATTCCGACTAGGACGACTGACTAGGTCGACAACAACCGAAAGTCGCCGACCTCTTTCTTCAAACCCACAACCAGTATTGTCATCGCCGGTGATCCCCCGTGCGGCCTCCAATGGTCAGGGACCAGTCTAACAACATCCCGCCGGACAACACCCCGCCGAACGATACATTGCCACTTCACACCCCGCCGACCATTGTGCCGCCGACCACGGCCACTCCGAACATCACCCAGCAGAACACCAATCCGCCGCCCTTACTTCCCGAAATTCCCGAACTGACCGACATTGCCGCGGAGTTGACGATCGCCGAGAACGTTGAGAGGGCCGAAAGACGGGCGGCCTTTAGGGCCACGGTGCGAAGGCAATACACGGCAGCGATTGTGCAGTATCGACTTTGGTGGGCTGAGCACGTACCGCAGCGAGATCGCGGCGACAACTAGAGGCCGACGGGAACAACTCTACCCGCCGAGATGGCTGGCGTCGCTCCGCCGGCGCGGAGCAGCGCGATTCCCGACCTGAACGAGCCTTTCATGGAGGAAGATGTAGACGCCGCTAGGGCAAATATTCCCGCCGACATGGTGGTCGACGTAGACGCCGCTAGGGCAAAAATTCCCGCCGACCCGACCATCCCCCTACCGCCAGGGACGAAAGGGGCTCCCGAACCCGGGCCGGACCGGTACTCGCCGCGTTCGGACACGGAGCAGCCGCCGCCAATTGGACCATTTCCAGAAAACGACTACATGTATCTGACCGTAGAGGACTTGTTGGCAGCCGACGAGAAAGATGACGCCTTCCTGCATAACATTCCTCGCGACGATTTTGCGGAAGCCGCCTTCGACATCAACAAAGAGCTCGCCAAGAAGAACAGATTGCTGAGGATGATGTGGGCTTTCCGGCATCTGGACACGCTGGAGGCGAGAACGACCCGGGTTCAGTACCTGCGGGCGCTGCTCGACTTCAGGAGATGGTGCTGCGCGAACCTTCCAAGACAGCCAACCGCCAGAGTCAAGGGGGACGGCGTGCTGGAACACGAGGACGAGATAGGGATGTACATCGACGAAGACATGGGTGATCAGTGGCACACCGCCAAGGGCGACCTACAATGGATGCACGGTCCCTGCGTCAACGCCACGCGGATCAGGGCGTACATTCTGTCAATCGCAAGGGAGTATGGTATTGCAAAGGCCGAGGAGCTCGAGGAGCTGAATCCCGACGTCCGTGTCCAGCCCCTGAAGCCGACATCGGTTTCGATGCTGCTCATCCGTATCAAAGCGCTCCAGACAGCCTGCAAGGTCGAGGGGACGCTCTTTGGGGTGAAGGAGCTCCACATCATGTACGACATCTCCGAGGTCCGCTCGGAGGTGCGCGCGATGGTCAGAGAGAAGTGGCACAGGGACGACAGGTAAGTCGGCAAGTCGTCCCGCGCCTGTTTCCCGGTTCGCCCAGCTAACCCAGTCCTCGTGGAAACTGATGTGCAGGGATTGCGTCGACCGGCACCGCGGAACGCTCGGCGACACGTACACCACCGACCAGATCCGCCACCTCATGTTCAAGGTCTTGCCGACCTGGGCAGCTCGGGCGTACGAACCCAAAGCGGCCACCCCCTCCCAGACACTGTGGAAGTTTCTGCTGATGAAGACGATGACCCTCTTGGGTCACCACACCCTTCTCCGCGGAGCCAGTCTCCGAGCGATCGAGCTCCCGACCTGTTTTTGTACAGAATGGGGAGCGCGTCGCCCGAGCACTCCACTCGACGGCCGGTTGTCATGGTTGTCGCGTCACGAAACTCCAAGACGAACAAGGATGCTCGTCTGCATCACAGCTACGCGGCGAGACACCTGGACCAAGAGATGTGCGCCGTCGGTCACACACTGTTGTGGCTGCACTTCGTGTACGACCAGCTCAGCCGATCGCCCACTTCTCGATGTGTGCCGCCCCTCGACTTCACGACTCCGTACAGCTGGTATCACAAGCACCTCTTTCATGCTCGGAACGACAAGGAACAAAAAGAGCTGCCGGCGTCATCTCATTCTCGGATCACGAAAGAGATGTGGCGGACGAACAACATCTTCATCACGCGCAACACCCACGCCGCCCGGGCGGGTGGGGCACAGGAGCTGGCCGACGACGGCGTTCCGCGATCTGACATCGCCGACTTGGGCCACTGGGCGCTCGACAAGCTCGCGAAGAGCTACATCACGACCATCCCGAAGGCGGCGGTGTTGAGAAAGGCCGGCTACACGGGCAAGCGCGGCGACTACCACCTCGGCCGGAGCATGGTGAAGCCCGACGACAAGGTGGTGGCCCTCATCGCCCAGCACATCTTTCCGTGGGCTGAAGCGGAACTGGCCAAGGTGAGCATTTCGGACGGCAATAACGCCGACAACCCGCCGACCATTTCCACGACGACATTATTCCGACGGCTGATTGTGTTTGTGTTTGTGTTCGACTCGCAGGCGGTAAAATGCGCATCCGCGAGAGAGCCCAACACGGCCGGGGTGCACTTCCTGCAATCGCTCATCGAGTTCGGCCGCCGAATCGTCGCCGAGGATCTTGCGTGCATGGTGATGCGCGAACCGTGGCACCCGTACGTCCAGAGTTCCAAGCTCTGCCGCGACCCCGACTTCCAAAAATGGGCCAAGGACGTCAACCGGGTGGACCTCGAAACCATCGCGACGCGCAGTACTCCGAGCGAGAACCCCCAAGAGGTACGGCGTGCGCGTTCCGGCGACCTGCAAAACAAGTCGTCCTGCAACATTGGCTCACCTTTTGCCGACCATCCCCCTTGGATCGCAGGAATTCAGCGCGCGAATCGACGCCGAATATCAGGTCGACCAGCTCACCATGATGCTGCACCGCCAGAGGGAGGATGCCGCGATCGAGAAGCTTGAGATGCAGAAGAAGTTGGAGGAGAAGGACGCGGAGATCGCGAAGTTGATGCAGGCTCTCAAGCTGGCCGAGGCACGGCCGACGCCGTCTGCGCCCGCACCGTCAAGGCCGATGACGGCCGCCAAGAAGGCAGCGTCCGTCAAGATCGAGAAGGAACAGGAGGATGACCTGACGTACGAGGTCAACGTCGTGCATCCCTGGCGCACATCCAAGACGGTCGAGGCTGCATGGCGCTGGTGGAACAACCCGTCCAACTTCGACTCGCGTCCGTTGCGCGAACGTTTCGACGAGCACAGATTCCTCGTCAGACACACGCGCATGATCTGCAAGGTCGAAAAGGGCGACAAACCCGCCGCGTCGGCGAAGTCGGCAAAGAGCTCTAGTCCCACGACCGAGGTGGGTGAGACGGGGAAAAACGATGCGCTGCAGCACTGCACTCGCCGGATGAGGCGGATCATGGAAGCGCTGCACGACTTGCGGCGGAGCGACGACGCCGCTGACACCGCCGCCGTCATCAAGCTACTCGACCACCTGGGGCGAGCGAGGCTTTCCACTTTCAGCGACGCGCTCTTGGTCCTCCGTGCAACCCCGCCCATCAAGGTCCCCACCACAGCCGACGGAAAGTCGGTCGGCATCAAGGGTCTGGACAAGCCGCTGGCGAGGAAGCTCGCCGTTGCGTGGGGCGTGGTCACGGCGGGCTACATGGACGCTGACTGGGGAAAGAGGCTCTTCGGCGACTTGTGGGATGAGCAGGCCAATAAGGCCGGCTTGGAGGCCGAGGCGACGGTGGGAGCCATCGGCGCAGGGAAGCGCAAGAGGGCGGGCTGAGGGTACTGCGTCTGGGTCCGACTTGTGCTGCTGGCTGAGCGTGGTGTGACTGAGGCCGGGCTGAGGGCGGGCTGAGGGTGGGCTGGGGATGTGCTGAGCGTGTCCGACCTGTTCTAGTGACTCTATATGGTTTTCTTTTACTAGCAACTTTGTTTCGACTTGTAAATTAGTTGAAGTTTGTCCGTTGTTCATGCATCAAACCGACTCCACACCACAAAACCTAGGTCACAACGTTTCTGAAAAACTACCGACGAACAAGTTCAGCATCACTAAGCCGGAGAGGCACAACAAAACAACAAAACAGCGGTCAACAAGCCTGCAGCGTTTGCACCCACGCCGACCATGCTACGAGCAGGCGGGCCAGCCTTCGTCGACCTAGGCGTCGGCGACCTGCTTCCCTTTGTGCTGTTGCCCCCTCGCCCCCCTGTCCCGAATGATAACCTTCATCTGGGGGTCGATAGGCAAATCGACGCCGCGAGCCTTGAGCTTCGGGCCTCCGACATTGCAGTCCCCCCAGAAGGCGAGGTTCTCTATCATGACACGGGCGATCAGCTCGTCGTGCTCGCGCTCCTCTCCGACCTCAGGCAGCGACCTCAGCACAGCCGCCTGCAGGTCCTTCGTCACCGTTTCGGCGACCTCCCCTACGACGACCTCCCGGGAGGCCGCCCGCTTAAGCACCGCCTCGATGACGGTCCGACACCGACTCGCGAACTCGTTGGACGCTCCGCGCACGGTCGCTGCCGCCCCCCCTTCGCCGGCCGCTACTTCCGCCGTGGCATTGGTCTCCGAAAAACACCACACCGCGGCCGCAGTACCGGCGAGGATCTCGGACAACCGCTCCGACCCGACGCCCGGAATGGGCAACACTTTCGCGGCCACCGGTGCGAAGGCGGCACACATCGAAACGCGTGCGATCATGTCGCTCGCCACCTTCTTCTTCGCGGCCTTCTCGGGCTCGGTCGACTCCGGAAGGTCGCCGAACCACACCGCCGGGCGAAGAGCCAACATGAGAGCCGCGCGGTCGGCTCCGGTTATCCTGTTGTATTCCGCGACCACCTGTTGGAACCTGCGAAACACAGCAGGAATACCCACCGTCACCGACCGGCCCACGCGTACCGACCGAAACGAGCACCAAATTGAGCATTCGCCAAGCTTACCTGTCGCGGAAGACGTTCGCCCCTCGGCTCCACATGACCATCCACATGCCCCCCGGAATCAATCGCGCCACATTCCAGTCCGCCTTATACTGCGCCATCACTTCCTCCTTGACCCCACCGAACTCGTCGAGAACCACGTCGCTGACGAAGCCGTCGAACGACGAAACGGCGACAGCGATGCAGTAGGCGGCCTCGGACTTGTCCATCGACTGGCAGATGTAACGGCTCTTTTTCCCTAACTTCATCTCCGAGACGGCCAGCCCAGTTGAAGGGTCAACGCGGACGCCTGAACCCCTCCGGCCCTGCGCGGCCGCTTTGGACGTCCCCTTGGAAGAGCCGACCTTCGGCGGGCCGCCCTTCGCCTTGTCCTTGCCCTTGCGCCTCTGCTTCCCATCGCCGACCTCACCGGTTGTGGCCGGGGGAGATTTGGCGCCAGCCGCGCTATGGTCCTCCGCAAGAGCAGTCGAGGCGGCTGGTGCACCCTGTTGCGCTCCCACGGTGGGAGCTGCTGCTTGTAGTTTCTCCCGCATGACCTCGATTTCCGGGTCCGGCATCACGATGCTGGCGAGGATCTCTTCGTCCACCCCGCCGGCCTCTTCCGCCGCTCTCCACACAGCCGCCTCCACCGTTGACCCACTCGGCCCTGCAGTCGCCGCCGCGACGTTCGCTGCCTCTGCTCCTTGGTCGACCACCTGGTTGCTGTGAGTCGGAGGAATTACCGGGGTTTTGTGACCCTGATCCTCGAGCCATTTCAGATACTCGTCGTACGATGGCTTTTGAGTGATTAGGGCCTCGACCGCTCGAGACTCAACAGCCGTTGGGATCGGGATGGGTTCCGCGGCGACCATGGCCCCATGAACGGGTAAGCTGGCCGCACCGGCAGCCTGCTGGACATGCTGTCCGACCACCGCTGCTGGGCGCAACAGCTCGTCGACCAGCGCCGTGACACCACCCGGTCGCGCGTCACGTGCAGTGGCAGGACTCGTCGCGGTGTGCGGATGCTGGCCCGCCGCGGCCTGCTGGACATGCTGTCCGACCACGGATGCTGGGCGCAAGAGCTCGTCGACCAGCGCCGTGGCGCCAGCCGAACGCGCGTCCCGTGCAGTCGCCGGACTCGTCGCGGTGGGGGTATGCTGGCCCGTACCTGGCGGCCCGCCCTGCTGTCCGACCACCGCTGCTGGGCGCAAGAGCTCGTCGACCAGCGCCGTGACGCCAGCCGGACGCGCGTCTTGTGCGGTCGGCGTGCTCGTCGACGGGTGAAGATGCTGGCCCGCACCGGCCGGCCCGCCCTGCTATCCGACCACCGCTGCGGGGCGCAGGAGGTCGTCGGGCAGCTGCGCTGTGACGCCGGTCGGTCGCGCAGTCGGCGTACTCGTCGAGGGTTGAACATGCTGGACCGCAACGGGCTCCCTGCGCGCCTGGCCGACCACCGCTGCGACGTGCATGTTGTCTGCCGTCTGGGCTGTGCCACCGCTCGGTCGAGCGCCTTGTGCAGTCGCCGGACCCATGAGCTCGTCGGCCAGACTCACCTGCTCGCAGCTCGGTGGCGCGTCGTGTGCGCTCGGCGGATCGGTCGGGGCCTGTGGCTGCTTGTCCCCCACGGGCTGCCCACCGGTCTTCCCGACCACCGACTGAGGATCCTCGAGCGCGACGTCGACCTGTCGAAAATGTTCGCTCGGTCGCGCGCCAAGTCCATCTTTCAGCAAGTCGTGGACGCCGGGGATACGAACATACGGAGGGGCAGGAGGATCCACGCCCACACCGCGTTTCACCGCAGGTCCTCTGCTTCGCTTAGAGCCGCTGGTCTGGTCGCCGGTCAGGGATTTTTCGTCGGCGACCCTTTTCCCCGACTGCCTTGGGGCCGGCCCACTCTCCTCGGCGGTTGCGCGACCGCCGTGCATCACCGACGCGAAAGCAGTTGGGAGGAGGCTAAACCCGGCGGTGCCAATGCCCTGTTGGGTCGCGGAGGTGACCGCCTTCACCAGGTCGTCCCTAAGCTCTTGGACGACCTTTGCAGTCACGGCAGCGGCGATCCGCTGCGCCTCGCCCTCCATGGCAGCCTTCACCTCGGCAGACACGACTGTTTTGATGTTCTGGCCGAGAGAATCTGCCACACCTCGAAGCAGCAGGAGGTCGTCCTCCCGTCGCCTACCCTGTGCAGCAGTAGCCGTCAAGTGCAGGGCCTGCACGGTGGGCAGCCACTGCGTGTTTATGAATTCGAGGGTGGAGCCGCGATAGCTCACCGCCTCCTGCACGACCGCCCTCACAGCGTCCACCGCCGTTTGGATGCTCCTCCCCGACGTCTGCTCGAGATGGGTCACGCCCTCGGCGACTGTAGTGAGCTTGTTCACGGCCGAGGTGACCACGCCGTAAATCGTGTCATTCCGGGCCGTTTGGAACTCCAACCTCTTTTCCGCCACCAGCTTCTCCTCCCTCAGCTTCTTGATCTCCCTCTCCGCCGCCTTCAGACGCTCGATAGCCGCCTTTGACGCCATCCTAGGCGGGGTCGAGCCACTGCTGCCCCGGGCCTTCTTGCCCAACTTGGGTCCGCTGCCGCCGCCCATATCCGCAACCTTCTCACCGGCGAACTGCACTGCCTCCTCTTCGCCGGTGACAACCACGTCGTCCTCCTCACGCTCCACGTCCTCCTCCTCTTCTTCCGAGCCACCGTCGTGCTCCCCGCCCCCCTCAACGTCCTCCCTCTCGTGCTCCTCCTCCCCACCCATAGCGATGCCGGTTTCGACGCCACGGGCCACGGTCGACGCCGCCTCCCCTCTGTTCGACGCGGCCTTCTCCGCGTGGTGCAGCAGCTCCAGTCGGAGCGCCTTCAAGCCGACCATCTTCGGGTTCTCGACGATGAGCGGATCGTAGCTGCGAAACACGTCGTCGAGATGCTCCAAAGACCACGCGAACGCGTTGACCGCCAACAGCCCCGAGCCGGCGACCTCCTCCTTGAGGATGTCGGGCAATTTCTGCATCAACATCCGAAGCACATGGCGACGACGAAAAGGGTGAGTCGACGCCTCGACGACGATAGCCCAGGCGACAAGGCGACATGGACGTTGGAAACTCACATCACGGATGGGGGCGGCAAGACTCTCCAGACGTTCGGAGAGGATTTCGGCGGAAGGAGGCGCAGCCGTCCACTGCCTTCCCTCACGGTTCAACTCCGCCTTCGCGCACTCGGCGAAAAACCTGCGCTACGAGAAGGGAAAGAGCCATCAGACAAGGCGGCATGAACGCCGTTAAAGAGCGGCGCGACTAGCCGTCGACGTTGTCCCACCTCATAACGTTGGCCGCCTCCTCCTCGTGCCGCTTGGAGGAGGTCTTGGGGTCGAGGTGGCGGTAGAACGTCCCGATCTCCTCCTCGTCGGGCAAAAGCAGGTCGCCAAGGCGCACAACAAGCAGGACGCTGCAGTGCCTGCCGGGAAGAGGTCCGCCCCTGCCCACACAAGCACGACGGAGACATTCAGGGTTCTGTCCAGGAACAACAAGCAACTCGGTCGGCGTGGATCAAACCTCGCGGGCGCGGAACACTCACCCGGTGCACAGGGGGATGGCGAGGGCTTCGAAGCCGAAGGCCGACCCGAAAACCAGATAGTCCGCCTTCGACGCCGTCCTGGCGGCGCGAAGACTCGCACCGCGGATCAGGATCATGCTGTCGCCTTTTCCCAGACGATCGAGCTCGTACCTGGGACAAGCGGGGGCGAAAAGGCGGGAGCGAAACACTTGCGCGGTGAGCTACAATCCATGCCGGACGAAGGTAAAGCACGACGGCGATGTCGCTGGAAGCATGACGGACGTCACCGACGTAGGGCCAATGGTCGACTAGTTGATAAGACG